AAAAAAAAAAAAAAAAAAAAAAAAAAAAAAAAGAAAAGAAAAAATATATTATTCATGGCTCCATAAAATAGTTGCACGAGTCGAGCACGATACGATAAAATCGCACAAGTGAGGACGACAATTCCAACTTTTCTTTTTTTCCTTCTTTTTTTCCATTCGAGAACAGAAGGATTTTCGAGTCGTTATGCAACACGAGAGACGATAGCCGACGCGTTTAATCGGCATTGTTAACGTTACGTTGTTCCGGCTGTGTAATTTAATCTATCCCACCTCCACGATTAACCTTGCGGGAAAAATCTTCCACAGAATGGAAGAGGAGATTCTCCATGCGTTCGAAGTTCACCATTGTCGATAAAATATGACGCGTTTCCACGCCGTTTCGTTCGCGTCCTGTCGATCACGTTTACCCCTCCTCCCTTCTTTGCCTCGCCCTATCTTTCGATTTCGTTGTTCCATTCTACTCATCTGGAACGTGTAACGCTAATGCCACGTTGAGCGAACAAACATCCCTTTTACGCGAATGTTTTTTTACCATTAAATTTTGTCATGGAAATGGTAAATGAAGATTAAAGTTCCTGAGCTCCAAAATCTGTCGATCAAAAAATTTTGAAATAGCATATCGATGATTGATAATTGTACACGAATAAATAAGACACTGTGCGTTTATAAATTTAATGAACTGGGCTGTGGATTAATGCTTTGTAACACGTATGCAACGAAAGGGTTGATCGTTGAATTGAATTCCACGCGTGAATATCTGCGTGAAAAACGATTTTCGAAAAGGTAATAAATATTCCCTGATAGGGAAGATCCATGCTGCAAACCTATTACCATATTTTCTCGTAATTAGCAAAGTTAACGAGTTATTAGTACGTGAAAATAGTGGTTATTATTTCGCGGAAGAAAACTCGAGGATACATTTTAATGCGGCGTAATAAGGATTCGTGGTTCAAATTTGTGCAAAAAATGATTTCTCCTCTTTTCAATTAAAAAAAATTATAACCAGGAATTACAGACGCCGCGTTAAAGTTAAATTTCTCAATGGAAGGAACCGACTTGTGCTTGTTCGAGGGTACGTATTTGTTAGACGAATAAAAATGGGGAGGAAAATGATATATCGTCGAATATAGTATCGAAATGAATTCCGATAATCGAGATTAATAAACCCCATACAGATTTCGCGCCGATCCAGAATTCGTTCGTGTATCCAAAAGATATAGGGGGTGCAAATTTCCAAGATTCTTCGATCTTCATCTTTGCACTCTTACGTTTCGACAAGTATACGTGGAATGAAAGACGTTATTGTCCGAGGAACGATAATTGTTACGTTAATTCGCAGCGAGCAAAAGAGTCCTTCGCGTTTCATTAGAACGCATCTCAAATATGCGTTTCAATGTTGAGAACCGAATGTCGAGAATAATTGTTCGATAATTCAGTTTGGAGAGTATCGCCTCAACAGCGAATTCGAATCCACATTTTTGAAGAATTAATTTTGAATGAATAATTCTCAAGATTTAAAAATTTTGATCGAAATTGAAAAATCTGTCCAAGACGTTATTACTTAAAAAAGTTACGGGAATTATATATCGATCTTCCGGAATCGTTTCGAGATTGAGATTCGAAGAGCGTCCATCACCGTCGCTTGACATTTCCTGCAAAGCAACTATTGCGTGTATCTATATGAGAAAAGCGAGAAGACGTCGAACAGGGGAAGGTAAATTAATCGTTATTCGAGGAGAATTGGGAAATGGCGCGATAGCTGCGGGCCCCGAGGATTAAGGCAAGTAACAAGGGAGACGGTCGGAATGATATAAATCCGGTGATGAGAAATGTGGCAGCCTTTAGATCGACCGATACGCCGTGTTAACTTAATGACCACGACGTCCGCCAAGACGAATGGCTTTCCCGGTATCTGCAAGATTCTTGAATGCAGGCACCGACTAAATAGCTCGCGAGCCATCGCTAATTCCGCCTCGGTTCCCCGATTTTCCCCCGATTAATCGAGTCCCTCTTGCAAGGATGGCTCGATTACCTTCAATCGATTAAATTACTCGTGGATCGTGGCTACGCCTCGAAGATGGGATCCACGAGATACGACGATTTCTTTTTCCTTCTTTTATATACCGATTCCTAAAATAATAGCCCTGTTATTATTAGAAAAGTTTGTCGATCGAACGAGGAGAAAAATTTCTACTCAAATTTAACCAATTCAGTTCAATATTATCGACACGAGATTACACAACTTTACAAATTCGTATTTCGAAAAGGAATCCACTTTTCAATGTTTCCCTTAATTTATTCCCTCCTCGATCATCATACATTACCGATGGAAGAAAGAGATTTAAAGAGATCCAAGAGACTCGAATCGAAGAGTAACCACAAAAAAAAAAATCACAATCACGATGATGTATAATAGCACAATGCACTGGAAAATCACACGAGGATTACCGCGACGGTTCGAGAGGCGTTCTCCCGATCTTCGAGCAGCAAGGATCGAGGACGCACGCGCGCGGAACGGCGTTCGAAAACTGGCGGCATCCGGACACGTCCCGAGACACTCGGCCCCTTCTCGGTAAGCCGATCCAATCCCATTTTACAAGGAAACGGCGCGCACGATGATGATTAGGCAAGGATAGTTGGAAGACACTGGACACACTGTTCGGTTGGCGGCAATTAGCGGGAGCCGCGCTTGCGCCTCGCCGATTTTCCACGCTCGACCCGACCGCGCCAACAACCTTTTCCGCCTCGACGGCTCGAATATTTCGACTAACACTCGCTCGCCCGTCGAGAGGAACTCGTCTACCTAGTCCGCGCCCATCCCCTCTGCTCGCCTCTTCCGGCACTCGACATTGTAGGAAGCGTGTGCGCGCGTACGGGCGAGGAGCCCCTGGCCTCGAGCGCACATGCTCGCGGCCTCGAGTGACTGCGAGTCGGCGACGAGTGCGTGCAATTGGCAGCGTTGTCATTGATGAACGCACTTTCGCGCTTTCCTTCCTCTCTCCTTCCCTTTTACGCTAATTTCGGCGCCAACGCTTTTTAAACTCGAGCATGGAACGATATTTCGACGAGTCATCGTGGAGGACGGAATCAACGTCCGTTGTAAGTAAGTTGTACGATTTTTAGAAGCTTGGGCTTGGTTTAATGAATGTAAATCAGTTTCAATTTTATCCGTATATCAAGCCAATCACACCGAATGTAATAGTCACACGTCACGCGATCGAACACAAATTAACGTCAAAGTAATAATCGTAATAATCCATCGTAAACTTCACATCACAATCCTGACACCAATCGACGAAGAGGAAAATCGAAAGAAATATCCAAAGAATCCACCACTGTAACTATACACTCTCTCCAAATAAGACATTAGCACCTCGTCTAATCAGCTCCTCGACGCAGACGTTTTCATCCCCACCAAACGTTTCATCCTCTCCAAATCCTCTTCAAATCCGTCAGACGATCCTCTACGCTTCCGGTATCCGCCCGTATCTTCGCTCGATCAGCTGATTCCGTCGAAACGCGAGGAACGAAGGAAAGAAAGAAAGGCTCGTTTCGAAGGATCGAATCGGTTCGTTGCACGCGAATCGAGCGATCAAATCCCGATCGAGGAGGGCGGTTGGTTGAATTTGCGCTGAGAAATTCTCGGTTTCCGTTCGTCTCCGTTCCTCGTTCTCTCGGGGAACGACGATCGCAAACAGGAGGCGGAGGAAACGTAGATGCCGGGCGGCGATCTATCGCGGGAGAACGCAAGGCACGAGTGCGGAACGTTGTGGTGTGTACGCGGCACTGTCGTCCGTACCCTCCATGGCTCCATGGGCTCCACACTCGAGCCACCGTGGCGGCTGTTCCACGTTCACGTCTCTCCTCGTGTGCGTTATACCGATATACCTACGTGCGTGTATGTGTATACGTGCGTACGTGTGTGTATACGTACGTTCGTGCGCCGGTTGCACACCCACGTGCCCACGTAGGCGTGCTCGTGTTCGTGTGTGTTCAGAGAGAGAGAGAGAGAGAGAGAGAGAGAGAAAGAGAGGATCGAGGGGAATTGGAAGGATGAAGGGAGACAGATAGAGAGAGAGGAGACAGGTAAACGACGAGAGAAAGAGAGAGAGAGAGAGAGAGTTCATGGCGCGGAGAGTGGATGGGAAGATAATACGAGCGGTTGACGGAAGGAAATTAGAGGGACAGAGAGAAGGATCGGAGGTGAATAGATGGAGAGACGGAGAAAGAGGGAGACGGAGGGGTTTACGTTGAACAAGAACGATTCCGGATCGTTGGCGCGGGTCTGTGGAGAGCGGCAGGGTTTTTTTTTCTTTTTGGTGGTTGGCTTCGATGGCGGTAACGAGAAAGCTTGGAAAATTCTATTTTTCCTGCGGAAAATAGATTGGAATCAAGTTTTGATTAGAATTAAGGGAGTTCGTTTTCTTTTCTTTTTTTCTTTTTAACAAAAATTGGTCAACCCCCTTTGGTGTTCGTTCCGAGTAGGAGGCGGGTAATGGCTGTTTACACGCGGAAACCGAACAGTCACCCCTCTGCACCACCCCCAGCCGAATCGAACTAATTCAGGAATTGAATGGGGACGCGTAGCCACAATGGTTATTCGATTGAATAAACCGAGGTGGGATTCGTATTAAACCGAATTAATCGAAGCAAACGACCTCGAATCCGGGTAAATCCGAATCGAGTCGAATGAAATTCGAGTCGTGAAAGTCAGTGGCGGGTGAGGGACGAACGTTCGAAAAAAGAGAAAAAACGATACTTCTAAGAAACGGGGATTGCGGTTCGATCCGAGAGAGATCGATCGATACTTTGATTCGACACAAACGCGTTTTTTTTTTCACCCGCTCGACAATGGCATTCGATTTGCCTGGGGCGTGATCGCGTTGCGTGGAACAGCGTGACGCGATAAATAATTGCAGGTAAACGTCAGCCGCGTTTCGCGCGATTGAAATGCCATTGTTCTGTCCACGATATTTAAGATAATCCCGAGATAACGGACCAACTTGTGTGTACGATCGTTTGGGGAAGGGAACGACGACGCAAAGAGTGGAGGACGAAGAATCGGTGGAGAAGGGGAAGAAGAGGCGGAAGAGAATGATAGAAGTGAATGGAATACTGAAGAAAAAGGCGAAGAGAGGAGAGAGAGAGTAGAATATACACGGAATAACGTTGCTCGATCGCGTGCTCGAAGCGATCTTACAAATCAAGAGTCGATCCTCCTCTTCGAGTCGTAACGCTCGGATGGAAACGCTTTTGATTTTAACAAGCATCGCGTGAAACACGTCCGTGAGTTCTTTTGTAAACCTCGAAATGGAACGAGGAGTATCTTCTCTCATTGTTGGGAGGGGAATTCGCTTGGAAGGAAACGAACGAATCTTAGTTTTTCTGATTTTATGATGTGAGAAAACATCTAACTCTAAAGAGGAATTCTATTTCTAAATGAAAAATTGATATTGTCATTCCTTCAACTAATCGTTTGAATCAAAGATAAGATCCTTGTTAAAAAAAAAAATTTCCAAATTCGAAGAATCATTTACTTTTTACATTTGCTTTTATATTTATTCCAATCTTAGAAACTGTGTTAATTACAAAAATGAGAAATCGAATCGGTATTGAAAATTGACAAGAACATTAGGGATAATTTTATTCCCTTTCGAAAACGAGAGGCGACTATCGTCAAAGAAACGATCTAGAGCGGATACCGCAAATGAATTCGATCAGAGGAGAAGTCACAGGGGCAAACAATTTTCAATTACAGCCGGGCCGGCCACGGTTCTTCTGCAATTAACGTGTGCGCGCACGCAATAAGCGGTTTACGAGATCAATGACTCGCTGATCGAATTACGTGCCCGCATTAACTGACGTAGGGAATTAGAAGATCATTGGGCATTATGTAACGTTGAATTAATGCTCATCAAATCTTAACAATCGATGTTTGAACGGTGTTTTACCCCTTTCGAATCATTCTGATTAATATAAATATATATAAATCTTTTTTTTCTTCTTCCATTTGTCGTTTATTCTTCCAAAAATTATTGGATTAAAGTATTATGGAGCCGTGATTAATAGCTATTCGACGAATTGCATTTACGACAAAGAATTTCAAGTAAAATGTTTGCTCGAGCACGATATTGTCAATGGATTTGTATTGAATTCAAAAAAATGCGGAGATCATTTTTGTTTTTTTTTTTCTTGATAGATTTTTAAGAAACACGAATTTTTAACCAATTTTTAAGAAAACACGAAGCAATTATTACTCTGCTTTTCCAAAATATAGAAAATATCCACCGATTCTAATTTAAATCCTACAAAAACAGAGATGGGCAAAATTTTAATAATCGATAATAGTCGAAAACAAAGTTACTTCGATAATTTATTATTCAAAACGTAGAATAATTTTCAATCGAGTTTAATCGTTTCAACAAAATTAATACTCAACTCTGTCCAAAAAGCTCAAAACCTCCGAAAACAGAGAAACATTTCCAATGAAAAATTCAAATCAAACACACATCCAACGAACCGGAGGAGTTCTAAATTCCAGTTAATCTGCCTTACAGCGAGCGTGATTGCACGACTGCAACAACAAAACTGCAAAATGCACGCAGGATAATAACGAGAAATAATAACGAGTCTGGCTGAGAATCTCGGCTGTGCAAAAGGAGCTGCGGTTTCTCCCCCTCTCCCCCCGTGGTTTCCATCCCTTTCCGGTGGGGTGGCGCGCGGTCCAGAAAAGAGGGTGGTCGGTTTGAAAAAAAGAGAAGAAAAAGGAGACGAGACAAAAGAAGGATTGGCGGAGGGTCGAAAAAGGATCTTCCCGCCGAAATAATAAAGCTTCTTCGCGCGAGGATGTATTCTTTCCGCCGTCGCGTGGAGAGAAAAAAAGAAGAGGGACCCTCGACCCTCCCCTCGACCGACACAACCCCTCCTCGTGCGCGCATACACCCATGGCTGTTCCCCTTCGACCCGACCTCGTGCACACCGCACGCATTATCTCCTCTGCCTCGTCTCTCTATTAATTGGCGAGTTAAACAGCGGAGTTATCGCGTTGGAAATTACCTCCTCTCCTTTTGCTACCCTTGTGTAACGTGCAGTGAAATCACGAAGCGTAGGGGGATGGATCGAAGGGATGGAATGACCGAGTCTTCGCCCCGTCCCTTTGAACTTTGGAAATTTTTTTTACCGATTTTACCACACACAAACACGTGAGACGACCCGGGAAGAAAGAGAAGAGTTCTTTCTGGGGTGACTGACTCACTATCGAATCTCCCTTTTTCACTCGGATGATATTGGCATAAATATTTTCTTACAGCAGATTGTTGGATGTTTATGGAAAATAAAATTGAAAAGAAATTAAAGAAATGGAATTTAAATGGAGATATAGTTCGTGACAATAAGTATTTCATTATTTTTAAAAAATTCATCGATTCAAAGATGGAAAGAATCATCGATAAATTGATTCGAAGGGAATCGGAATTCTGCAAGAATTATAAGAAAAAATTTTTAATTGTAAATTAATTACTCTATTCACTGTCTATCCCATTATTCATCCTTAAAATTCATGGCTCGTCAAAGTTGATTCACCCTGATCCCTCTTCCCCTGCAGAACGTTTAAACTAACGTCTTTTCAAACGCCTCGAAATGCAAAGACACGCCATCATCCTTGCCATCCATATATGACATACGCTACCCTTTAAAATTAGCATTTTCATCCGAGTAAACTGTTCGCATCCATCCCTCCTTCCCTCGCGGGGAAACACGTTTTAAAGGATTCTTGGAATCCTTTCCACTGGCACGCGAAAGATCTTCTAAACGAAGGGACGAGGAAGCTTCTCAGCGATAAAGTGTCCGGGTAACGATAGGATGCTGGGGAGGAGGGCGAGATGTTTGCAAAAGTGGATTAATTCGCCAACGATAAGTGGAGTTGGGGATAACTGGTTTATTATCCGAATCGGCCGACGGCTAAAAGGGGCCCCCTCCCTCGCCCTCTCCCCGTGAAAACGCATATTCCGAATATTCAGAATCTTATCATCGTCGTGATGCGAAATGCCGTCGTTACAGTTTAGATCTTCCGTTGATCTCGATTGTGCGGGAGAGTCGTTGAAACAACCGTTTCCGCAACGGTTGAAACGATTTTTCCCTGCAATACGCCGGAATCGCGAGGGTGGCTGCCGGGAAACAAAGATAATCCGAAAGGGGGAAGGGGAGGAAATCGGTTTCCAGACACTATTAATTTATCTGGTGAAACCGTTCAGAAAGTTGCCGAACATCTTGTTGTACGAACACTGTTATCGTTACAAGTTGTTTGTAGCTTTGTTGCGAGGCGAGTTGTAGGATTAGTGAAAAAGTATTCGCGAAATTCAATCGCTTTTTACTTTTCTCACTTTTGGAAAAGAGGAAGGGTTCAACGATAATTTTTTCCCCTTTTCCAGAATAAGAGTAAAAAAGAATGCTCTGGCATTTTACAGATACAAGCGAATTTATATTTAACGATATTCTTATTAAAAATATCGTTTGAGTCTTCAGAATTATTGGTAAATTTTTTCATCGCTTCATTTATTTATTTTGTAACGCGTAATATATTTTGAAAAAAAATGACCTCGTTTGCTCGTGCGTGGTGCACCAGCGTATGCAAATTAAATCAGAATCGACCATGCGGAATGTTTCCTCGTGTAAAATCGATATACTCAAGGGGTTACTGATACTAAATTTTTGCTGAAGATTAGTATTAATGGAAAATTTCTTCGAATAAAATTATTCATATCCAAGAGGGATATCTCGATATTAAAATTTCTGGCATAGAAGACACTTTATGCGATCTCATCACCCTTCACTTTTTACCTACTATAATCCCGCTTTATTGGCGAATAAAATCCCGCATCAATACGATGTTTCGCCGTTTAAATCGTGCGTAATATTCCTTCCCCTCCCTTCACCCCCGTTAAGAAAATAAATTCCTTTAACAAGAGAGCGCACCACCAACCAACAGCGACTGAGAGAACCCATTCGAACTCGGTAAACCCGGTGAACGACTGCAATTTACAGCCGTGAACGTGGAGAGGCGAAAGGAAGTTCCCACCCACGACAGGAAGAACGCACCATCCTGATTCGAGAATTCACCAACGAGTCTCGAAACATTTAAACCAGTTTGGGACGCGAAACTTCGCCGATATATCGCGGTGGAACAGCGGTGACGTCGTAAACGCGGCGAACGCGGCGTTTACGAGGGCACGGATTTCGGTTGCTGCGTGGGTGATTGTAACTTTGTGGAAGAAGAACGAGCGTTTTGGATAGTGAGAACGATAGAAATTTCGAGAACGATCTTGGATGATCGAACGGATTATTCGAATTTCGAATGATGATAACGCCCACTCGAGAACGCAACGTTGTGAAGCGTCATATCGATGACGATATGATGATGAAATTTTTCGTCAGAACGAAAATTGTATACGGATATAAAAGATATAAAAGAAGAAATTGTGAAATGTTAAGGTTCGGTTGTTTGGGAAGAATAATAATGGTGAGTATTGTACTGGGCTCATGGAATATTTGAGATATTTGCGTCGATAAAGTGAATATTCGAATAAGAGATATTCAAATTTGAAGAAGATGGCTCCGTTCGAAGGAGAGAAGCAACGATTGAAAATATCGAGGGATATTTGTGTTATTCACGGTGGCAAATCTAAATATATCTGATTTACTTTTCCTACGAACACGGATTATCGAAAATTTTTATTATATTTTATCGTATCAAATGTTAATAAAGGAAAGTGTGGAAGAGATATACTTTTCTCTTTTGATAAAAGGGGTTTAAATAAATCTTTGAACAGTATTTTCTTTTGATTAATTCAGCAAACTAACCATTACTCTTTGTTTATAAAAGACGATTAAACGAAGGGTTAGAATGAGGAAGTTTGTACACACCGGTAAACAGGAAGCATTGAATAATTTAACCCATGTTGGGTTATAGAAGCAAGAAAGCATGCTTTCGTTTATCGAATGTAATAACGTTACTCTCCTCTCGAGTTAATAAAAATGATCATCACATAAATTACTTACTTAACGCTGGTCAGCCAAGTATTTCAAGTGTTTACGTACCTGTAACAATGAAATATCGTATGTCAGTTGCGATTGTATAAATATCCAAATATTTTATTAATCCTGATTTATTTCCTCAAAACAATATTCGTATTTTTTAATATTACATATTGCCAAACAGAAATATAACTACTATTAATTTCTAACAATAAATTTGATCTAATTTTATGTTAAATTTACAAAAGTTTTTTAGTTTTTTTCTCACAAATTGATTTATCAAATCTAAAAAAATAA